TTTTCAGTAGAACTTGATAACATATGAAACTCGTAAGTGAGCCTTAAAAATATTTCCAATTAATAATTTATTACTTTATCTCCCTTGATGAACATGTATAGTCAAATGCAAAAGAAATGTCGCGGTTGGATGGTGATAACACCACCCAATCGCGACATGCATCCCCTGGTGGATGTTCTGAGAACCTCTACATAAACAATCAGCTGTTCATAATCGTACTAATATGTAATTATGTTAGCACCTGCTCCAGAAGCGGTTGGATGGTGATAACACCATCCAATCGCGACATGTTCTTTGCATTTGACTGTGCCTATTAGCTTTCAACATTCTTAAACTCCAATGTAAATAAAACGAATTCATAATCACTAAGTTTCTTACCGAAGATAATTCGCATAATTTGTAAATGACCCAATTGAAAATTATTTTTTCGACCTGTCCAGGAACATAGTTCAGCCAGTCCATTGGCAAACACATTTTTCAAGACTCTTGTTGTAAAATCTTTGGCATCTTTACCTCCAATAGATTTTACGAAGTTTATCTAAAATGTAAAAATATGAATGATCTTCTTTCATATAGAACTCTTTTTACAAATATAACTTTTTTCACATATTGAAAAACAAAGAAAACTTTCAGCTAGTCCACTTTTTTTATCACAAGGTATATATTTAAATGATTCGGTATTCTTTTTGAAACTTTTTGGTTCAAACGGTTGAAAAATTCAGTTTTGTGATTATGCAGGCTTTCCAATAGTGATAATTATTTATATAGAAGACTCTGGCAAGGACTAACTGCACAAAAGGAATCAACCACTGAAATAGTTTTTTTCTGTAATTGTCGAAAGAATTTACTCTATTCTATTTTTCAAAACAATAGACTATAAGCCTAAATGGGTGTTTTAAGATTTCTCCTAGTAATAATAATTGGTTTACTTGAATCAAAATTATTTATGTATCAAGGGATTTATAATAGCCTTAATTACCGATGGCAAAGTTTTCGTCACGAGGGCCTCTGGGACAGCAATTGCCTGAGGTTATTGAGGCTCAGTAATTCCCGTGATACATAGTTTTTAAAATTATTCATTACCAATTCTATGTATACAGGGCAACAAATACATCCATCATTGCTGTCATTTGTGCAAGTGGATGGCATTTGAAAATCATGATAGTTGGGGAATGTTTCTTCAGAATTTGGAGGTATGGTGTTTCTTTCATGACCTGAAAAAAAAACATCAGTAACCAATGATTTATAAATCAAATGAAAAACTGTAACATTCGTTGGATGGCATAACAGAAACATTTTTCGGTATTTGTTCTGTTGCATCTGTGGTTAGTTCATAATTTTTATGCCCTAAAACAGGTAGAGTCATCTAAAATTTTATAAAACTAAAAATAAATCATACTTTTGATGGATTCATGGAAACTTGATTGTGATTGTGAATTTCTCTTAGGAGGATCTGCGATTCTTTGTGATCCATCTTCAGAAGAAGATGAAGATAGACTTTTTTTCTTCCGAATATTTCTACTTTCTTTTTCTTCATTGAGATCACTTCCATACTCAGCAATCTTACAATGTTTCCTAGCATCTAGATAGGAGTCTGAAATAACCAAACAAGAACATGAAATTATAGACCATTTTCTTGATTCAATAATTATTATTATATTCACCAAAAGTTCCATTGCGAAAAAATGAGACTGGATGCAGTGGCCAACATGTATTAGGAACTTCGTGCTTTTTTATAGCTGCAATTACTTTTTCTTGAGTAAATGTGGGCCAGTAGCAACTGTTTCCTAATACCCATATAGTTGGAACTGCCTCAACAGTATCTTCTTTGATGAATCTCACCACAGTCCAAGACATTTATGGATTATTACAATCTATAATAAACTAAATTCCTATTTACATAAATACCTAATACATGGCCACAAAATACATTATCACATAATAAATAATCACACATGCTTGACAATTACTATATAACATGTACTGAACATTCTACCCTGTTCATTGATTTTCTTGTGACAACAGAAAGAGATCATATAAGAGAATAATTGAAATGAGAAATAATACTTCTTCAGGCAATTACCATGAATTAATAGGTATCAATAGATTTTCAGAAAAACAAAATGAAAAAATTGATGAAAAATTGTTCTTCAACTTCTTTCAAATTAAAAATACAAAAAAAGTTGAGCAAATTCTAAGATTTTTGTTTATGACAATGATGTGCTGAATCTTAGAATTAAATATGAAATATGATTGATTCAACTCTTTAGTGGACTCGTTTGGAGATTTTCGCGATTCGAAAATTTTTTCACGATTCGCGAACACTGACACTACCTACTGGTCGGAAATGATCATCCAAAAATGATATAATGTTCGTATATGATATCGTTTCCTGTTCTTCTGGAATACACATGTTATGCAAGAGTTTGTACGCTTCTTTCATTCAACATACTGAGCAATATTGCACGTTTACGATTTTCGTCCACAATTTCATTTGCTGCGAAGTAGTTTCCTGAACGTTTTTTGTAAACTGACCAGTCTGATGAAAACGGACAAAACTCTTGAATGTGACCGGTATACTGAATGGCCGCCATCATGTTGAGAATTGCTTTTCACACAATTTTCACTACCGTGTGCACTACTACAGATTTAAAGCGGCTGCATAATTGCCCGGGAACGAGAACGTGAACGAGAACGAGAACGAGAACGAGAACGGAAACCAGAACTGAAATATTTTATCAGATGCACAAACAACGAGAACGAGAACGGAAATAGTAGGGATATTTGACATTATTACATTTATAAGGTCCATTCATAAACTTGACGTTCCGTTCGCCGTTGCCGTGGACTTTGGCCGTTCGCCGTTCGTAGACAGGAAATTTCACCTTTCATAAACCTGACGTTCGCTTCCGTTGACGCTGTCACGTCACGTCACTGTCACACCAATGTCACACCTTTTTAGTTCACGTCCAGGCATTTTGGATTTGGATTGTGTTTGTGTATACAGCGGTTTTTCAGTTTCCCACATTTTTGATTTTGGTCTCGTGTATGTTGTTGAAATGGATGAGGAATCTCATTATTTGATTGGTGCTTTCGGATTCATTTTATGTGCATATGGTGTTCTTCGAGTGAAGAAACGAAGACAAACAAGGAGGTTCAAAGTGAGACCGATTAATAGGACTCGTAAAACATCCGGGAATTTCCAGTATTGCTTAAATATGAAAAAGTCGGATCCAGAGCAATTTCTTAAGTATACAAGAATGACAGTTCCAGTATTTGAAAAATTGCTTAAGAAAGTAGAACCCAGGATTTGCAGGCAACACAGATCAGATGGTATAACATCTGAGGGAAGGCTGCTTATAACTTTACAGTAGGTTGATATTTTTAATAAAAATATGTTGACAATACTAACAGAACTATTTTCTTTCAGATATCTGTCACAAGGTACAAGCATGCAAGCACTAGCATGGACTTTTCACATAGGACTCAGCACTGTTCATTATTTAATACATGAAACTTGCCAAGCTCTGTGGGAGATATTGCACCCAGAATATATGAAAACCCCAGAAACAGAAGCTGAGTGGTTAGACATTTCCAGAGGATTTCTAGAAAAATGGAATTTTCCTCACTGTTTAGGCAGCATCGATGGCAAACACATTAACATACAGGCTCCTGCAAAAAGTGGATCATTATTTTTTAATTATAAAAAGACTTTCAGTGTAGTGTTACTAGCTGCCTGTGATTATAGATATAGATTCACGTTTGTTGACATTGGTGCCTATGGGTCCCAGAGTGATGGTGGGGTGTTCAGAAATAGTCTTTTTGGGAAAATGATGGAAGAAAGAAACATGAACATTCCACCAGATGAACCTTTACCAGGCACTAATTCTTCAATACCCTATTTTTTTGTGGCTGATGAAGCATTCCCACTGAAGGAATATATAATGAGGCCATACCCTGGCAAAAATTTATCAGACAGTAAGCGAATTTTCAACTATCGCTTATCAAGAGCAAGGCAAGTCATAGAAAACAGCTTTGGTATACTAGTGGCTAGGTGGAGAATTTTAAAAACATCGATAAATGCAAAAGTTGACAATATTGATCATATTGTGAAAGCTGTGGTTGTTTTACACAATTACTGCCAAACAGAGCTTTCCAGTGATGATGTCAATTTGTATTGTCCACCTAATTACGTTGATGGTGATGGTGAGCAAAATGGAGCCTGGAGAGCTGAACAAGAGCCTTTACAATCTGTTTCGTCTAGGTTCAAACTCAGCTAAACGCCACATCTATATGATGAGGGATGAGTTGAGCAACTATTTGATTTCTGATCAAGGGCGAGTTTCTTGGCAAGACAGGCTACTCAATGCTCACCTAATGTAAGATTGTAATGTAGTTTAATTTTTTTAATTGTAAATGATTATTATTATTAGATGTTGAAGGATGCTAATTTGTCATTCTTATATTGTAGAAATTTATAATGGAATAACTGAATTGATGTTAGATCTATTACTTTGTAAATATACTTCAATTATTACTATTTGTGTATTATTCGAGCACTGGCATACTATATACTTTTACACCTTGTTTCTGCAAATAAATCAGAAACAAAATTGGTAAGGCAGACACAAGGAATAAAATTCCATATTGAATCTGAATATTTTCACTAAATTCAAAAAATAATGTGCTCTAGGAAAAAATTATTTTCACCAAAAAAAAAATAAGTGACCTATTAAAATTAAAAGGAAATAACTTTCGTGGCTAATACCTACTGGAGTGTTAATTTTTTTCAATATATATCTCAAATGAAAAGGAATTTTTGTGCAAATATTTACTTTGAGGCTGACGAACTCATGTCAAATTTATTGCATTTATTTATATTCATATGTGGTCAATAAAGTATTTTTCTTCTATTCACTTCATTAGGTTTGATATTTTGTATCAAGTGTTTTGAAATGATACTAAATTTGTTGGAATTCATATAATTTATTAGAAAAAACTCAATCCGAATCATCATCATTGAATAAAATAGATAATATTTGTTTTCTTTGTTTTTTTGCATTGGCCTCGGTTAGTCTCTCTAATTCTTCATAAACATAATCCACAAATGTACTATTGGCATTTTTTTGTCTTGTAGGCCTGGATTCTATGGAGGTGGCAATAGTTTTCGCCATATTCAAAAGGCTTTCCACTTGTTCGTCTTTTTCTTTCTTCTTTCGCTTCCTATTTCCACCTGAAAAGTATTATAAACGTTAATAATATATCATGATTTTCTTTGCTTATCACTAACCAGATGATGCAGTAGGCGTAATAGTCTCAACAGACTCTTCCCTGTTACTTCTGCTCGGAGTCTGCAAGCAACTTGGTACATTTTCTCTTTCAGTTGGGGAAGCAGCATCACATGGGCTCTCCACAAGCTCAGGAGAAGTTATCGATTCAATTGTGATGCTGCTCCACAGAGACTGGTTGCTCGTGGAACTTGAGGGTCTGGTGGAAGTTGAGGGCCTTTCCAAATTTTCCAACAGAGGTTCTCTGCTGGCATGTCTTTTTGTTGTGCTTGTATATGTTCTATAACAATAAATTAATCAATAATAAGAAAATAATACTATATGTAGGCAAACCTACTTTCTTGGCTTTGTAAATTTGCTATAAAATAACATAGCCTGAAAATATGGCCAATTAGTATCACTGGCTCCTGAACCTGAAGGCCTCCTATTTTTTTCCTTAACAAATCTGTACCTCAAATTTTTCCATGCTCTCATGCAGTCTTCAACTGAAACATAGAAAAAAACATATTCAAGATACAATAAAAAATAAATCATTATTCAATTAGATTTGTAGAATATTATGTATAATAACCATTGCAATTCAGCATTCCACTGATTTGTTGCCATGCCTGGTACTTCTTCTTTGTATCCTTATATAGTTTATGACTTAAATCATGAAGATAAGGATAGCTCTGAATGGCATCTATCAAGAGTCCATATTCTATTCCTACTGCAGATATCTGGACTTGGTCTTCTAGAAATTATATGGGAAATTATTATAATATACTATATATATTTATGATATACATAAACTTTTGTGAAATTTGTATGTTCCTTACCAATGGTCTCCTGGCTCTCTCTATTTTCTATATCAGACTCTTGGTAAAACTCCATAATGCAAAAAACTCGCAGATCGCTAATAAACACAGTTTTATTTTATAATAAAATACACTCACTGAGGTAGAATATGAAATGAATATTATCATTGAAATAACTCATTTTTTACCATCTGCAATCTAAGTAGATTAGAAACTCATTATATCGTCATGAGAGTAGGTAGCAACAAGGGTAGCAGGTAGGTAATCGGATTATCACATAAAGGAAATTCCTTGAACTTTAATGAGGGAACAATATCACTATCCCAAATCTCAAATAACATGACCATCTTGACCATTTTAATTTATTTTTTCAAATAAAAAATATAAACAAGATATGAAACATCAAAATAATGTCAAGATTGTCAAGTGACAAGAATGACAGCTGAAAATGTATTTGATTGGCTATCACGACCTGCTACGAACGGTGCTACGAACGGCAAAAGATAAAATTGGTTTATGTTGAACGGCACCGACGGCAGGCTGAACGGCAGACGGCATCGGCCGACGGCGTTTATGAATGCTCTTATGCATTTCAGTATATTGAAGTGCGAACGGAACGACGAACGCAGACGGCAACGGCGAACGGAACGTCAAGTTTATGAATGGACCTTTTTTTTCAAATTTCAAAACACTGTCAGCGTGTCAGCTTGACTTTAGAAATGATTTTCAACATAATGGATGTTATTAGTGATGAGATGTTGGAGTTATATATGTATTTTCTTCTAATTCTGTACAGTTATTACAAGTCAGTTACCTTACAATCAAATATTCAATAATATTAATCATTGATTTTATATTTTTTAGATGGTGGGTTAGACCTATATTTAGAGAGAGGAAAGAAAAAGGGGCCTTTGTTAATTTATTCACCTATATGAAGAGTAATGGCCATGAGATGTTTTATAAATATACCAGAATGCTACCTGAACAATTTAAAAGAATTTTAGTTCTGGTTAAAAGAAACTTGCTGAAACGAAGCAGAAGGGAATCGCTCAGTCCAGAGCTAAGACTAGCTATGACTGTAAAATATTTGGCTCATGGAGGATCCTTTCAAAATATCTCATGGGAGTTCAGGGTTGGACATTCTACAGTGTCAAATGTAATTAAAGAAACATGTGAAGCTATATGGGAGATACTGTAGCCAATCTATGTAAAAACCCCTACTGAAGATGATTGGCTTAGAATAAGTGAAGAATTTTCAAATCGGTGGAATTTTCCTCACACCCTTGGTGTAATTGATGGAAAGCATGTCAAACTTCAACTCAATGTCCAATAAATAGTGGATCAACTTTTTATAACTATAAAAGCAATTTTAGTATGGTCTTGTTGGCATGCTGTGATGCTGACTACAAATTTATATGGGTAGACATTGGGGCTTATGGTTCTGAACATGATGCTGGAATATTGAGAAGATCAAAAATGGGGACTGACCTAGAAAATGGAAAAGTTAACCTTCCTGAAGCACAAAAGTTACCTGATAGTGAAATTATCATGCCTTATTATTTTGTTTGAGATGAGGCTTTCCCATTAAAATCATATATAATGAGGCCTTATCCAGGAAAATATTTGGAGGAAGAAAAATTAATATTCAACTACAGGTATTGTGAGGCAATTCAAATATAGTATTTAATAAATAACTATTTATGTTTACAGATTGTCCCGTGCTAGACGAGTTGTCGAAAATACATTTGGAATTTTGGCTAGTAGATGGAGAGTTTATAGATCCCCTCTATTATGCTCAATAAAGACAAGTGAGGCAATAGTAAAAGCAACAATATGCTTGCATAATTTCTTAAGAACTGAACTGTCACAAGTATATATTCCTCCTACATTCATAGACACCATAACAGAAAGTGGTGAAGTAATTCATGGTGAATGGAGACAAATTGTCAGAAATGATAACAACTTAACAACAGTGGGTAGAATGGGGTCCAATGTTTCTGCCACTCAAATAACTACTTTAAGAAAAAAATTGGCTGAATACTTAGTATCAGATGCTGGAGCGGTAGCCTGGCAATTAAAATATGCGAAGAGGAAGGTTCTGATTGAATTATATTGTTGCTTGTTTTTTATAATTAGTTTATTTCACACATTTAGAATATAAGTTTTGTCAAGAATATATCGAGTTGTTGAACATCTCACATATTTATTCACTACATATCCTAGTCATAATCTGCATCATCAATGTACTTGACAAGCAAGTCCATAATTTCTCTTTTAAAATTTACTCTTTTAGATGGTATTAGTATCTGCATGTCCTCTACAATCGATCTCATAAAGTTCAAATCACCTTCGTTTTTCTGTTGGAGGGCAGTTTGATTTCTTGCCTCACATATTTTATTGAAACTGTCAATTGCTCTTGCCATTTTCTCATGTACTTTTGTTTTCTCTTGACGAAAGGATGGAGTGGACTGTTATGAATGAGAAGATCCTGGACGATTCGGAATTGAAGGTTTTGGTGAAAGAATGCCATCTCTCCCAGCTTCAAAAATTTCCACCTCCTCAAGCTCCTGGTCGGGCTGAGCATTCTCACCTGAATTAATTAGTTCTTCAGTTTCCTCCACAGCTTCTTGTATATTCTCACTTTCAGTAGTTTCTACTGAAGTAGTTAATCTAAATAAAATAGATGGTTATTTCGAATTTTTGTTTTGATACATTCTAGGATTGATTGGATTCAGAGATATGGCAATAACACAATTTTCATAGAAACTATGCTATTTGTGTGTTTTTGCCATGCCTCTTGATGGTACTCACTTTCGTTTCCTCAAGAAGGGTGCTAGCCAGATCATCTGATGAAAATAAACAAATTCAACAGTCTTTTTAGACCCTCCTGCAGATCCAGAAGGAGGCTTTTTATTATAGTCCCTGTAAGCCCTAACAAATCGGTCTATCAAATTCTGCCATCGTTTTCTGACAGGTTCCACTACAATCAATCAAAAAAATTATTAAAATCAATGTGTTTCATTTTATCATGAATTATAACCATACATACCATCAGACTTCACATATTCTGCAATGGACATCCAGCTATTTTCTTTTGCTTTTTCGTCTTTGAAATTTTTCAAAGACCGATCGTATAGGTGAGGACATTGTTCCACCAAGTTTATTTTGACAATCCACTAGACTAGAATAGTTTCTAAACTAGGTTATCTTCTTCTTCTTATGGCATCCAATATATGTGCTGCGATTGGTTCCGGGAATGCAACGGGAACAGGAAAGTTGAAACTTGGCCAACTTTCTAGTTCTCATCTTCTCATCTTCTCATCTTCTCGTTCTCGTTCCTGGAAATCGCTGGTGCATGGGTACATTAAAATATGTGTAGCTTAATTTTTTTCCCATTTTCGTTCTCGTTCACGTTCTCGTTTCCGTGCAATTGTGCAGCCGCCTGTAGTCCAGACACAATTTCCTCGTCGCCATCTTTAGATTTTGCAGGAAAGTAAAAAGAGATCGACGTGCTAGATATACAGTGGCTCAAATAAATAAATACCTATTATCTATTATGACATGGATGGTATATCCTGCATATGTCACAGTAGTAAAGGTATTGTCACAGTAGTAAAGTTATTGTCAGAAATTTATCACAATATCTCAATTTCATGCATTTGCGAATCATTTCATTTAGAGGCCAAGAATGGAGAGGTCGAAGATTGCTAACTAAATATATTCCAAGATCTGAGGAATTACATGGTATTTTATAAAAATCCTCAACACTTAAAAATTTTTGCCCAATGAGAATGATTTTACCATTATCAGTTATAATATTTTTTATAACAAATATGATTGCTTGAAAAACACAACAATTATTAGGTTCAGATGAGGTCAATATGAAATTCTCAAAAGAAATTTTCTTATATTGTTTATCAACTTTCATATTTGATAAAAGTGGCCCATCATCATGTTCGAAGCTCAATTCAGGAAAAGTTTGATTCACATTAACACTATTAATGAGAATACTATCATGCTCATTTATTCTTTTGACAATCTGTACAAGTGGTTTATCTCCTTTTCTTACGAACTTTTTAAAGTATTGCATATAATTTTCGAATGGAAATGCACTGAACCCATTTATGCTTCCATAATATTTGACATCATCACATATGTGCAATAAATTGTGAATATTATGGGAAACATTATGAGGACCATATAAAGTTATAAATGTTTGCACAAAATACTGTAATAATTTTTCTGCATAATCTATGTCTGCATCACATTTACACATTGATAAAAGAGACATGGCAACATGTAAACTCAAAAAATGTTCATATTTATCAGAACTCAAATTATTCTTGAGTGCAACTGGGCCAGTATAAAATAGAAACAATCTGAACTCAACTGCCTTCCACCTTTTTGATTCAACTAAGGACCTAGGTTTACGATTGAATTCAGTAGGAATTTCAGGTATCTGATTCAATAACACATTAGAGATAACTTCCATTTGATTGAATGACATTTTTCCAGATGGTTTACCATTAAGCCAAAGATTTACTATCATTTTCTTCACTACACCAAGGCATATCAAATGCATGTAATCTAAAGGAGAATCTCTAACCATATCAATACCAGGAAGTAACTCTAAAATAGATTTTCCAGGATGGTGACTTTCTCGTAATTGTGCTCAAAAATTTTCATCATTTCGTAAGGAAAAGTTTTTTGCTTCTGGAAAGCAGACTTTATTTTGGATGTTGACACCTTCAACATCAGATTTGGAACAAGACATATATCCACTATCGTCCCCTGCAATATTTGATGAAGGATTCAGCTGGTACGTCACATATAAAAGCTTTAATTTTGATACTATATACAGAACCATTGAATATGAATCCATTGTGAATTAAATCCACATCAGCTTCATCTACAAATGACTTCAGAAAACAGTTTGCATCTTTTGGCTTTTCATTTCCATGATATATGCCAATGACACCTACAATATCTTTGTTCTGGAAAAGATTGCACAATATAGGGTAAAACTGGCTTCCTGAACTTTTGGACAATGGTAAACCATCAATATTGAAACAAACTTCAAGCTTGTTAGTTTTCAGTAATAGATTAGGTGTCAATTTCAATAGTTTTTCAAGACATTTTGCAAAACCAAAATGGAAATACTTTCCAGGTTCTACAGACTCCAGGATTACACTTCTTGCAAAAGTGTTCGAGAACTAATTGGCAGATTTGGAACTAAAGGTTTCAATATATGTAACAAATCGTTGACTGCGGAATGGGATATATTATGTTTCAATGCCCAATTTGCCAGCTGATGAGGAAAAGTTTAATTTGTGACTTCAGTTTGTGCTTCAAGACTGACTTGATTTAATGTTATTCCAGTTTGATGCTGGATATTTTCTTCAGAACTTGAAGGTGATAGGTTATAATCATCATTCACATCAAATACATTCTCCTCAACTACTGTAGAAACATTCAATATTGAAGACAAAACATGTTCATCAACCTGTACATCTAAATCAATAGATGGAGGAATGTTCAATACCCCAGAATCATGTGCTTCTGAAGGACAAAAACTAGCACTTGTTGAAGCACCATCCTGATATAATAGATTCTCTTCAATCTTGGCTCTTTTGTAGTATTTACTTAGAAATGATTTTCTCCTTACGTTGTTGCTCATCATCGACAATATGAAGAAGTTCATCAAGGACTGAAAGAACAATATATCTTATTCCACCACAAATATGTATTATGTAGAGTATATTAGCCCGCTTCACAGTATCAAATCCATATTTTACTTACTTTAGAAATAACACTTCCGTCGTTTATTGCACGCAATGTGGAATCTATAACTAGGTGTCAAATTATAGTTTCATCTCACAAAATAAAATCGTCTGTAGATACGCGATCAAACGCTTTTCACACTGCATATACCCACTCGCTCAGCAAGAGACAGCGAAGCTCACTGCTCATTAATAGTAGATCGATTATAGATTTGTTTCCAATCAAAGTATTACAATAGGGCCAATTCCACACATCAGGCTTAAAATTTAGGTAACACTTTAGCTGAGCTTAAGTGTTAAGCTTAGCTTAATGCATCCCACCAACCGCTAAACCTCAGTTTAAGGTCCGCCTACTTAACCGGTACGCAAGGTCCCCCTTATATTTATGTATCAGTTTGGTCTGTGTATAAGTTGAGTTTTCCTACCTCAGTTTTGTTTTGGAATCTTTATTATTTGATATTTACTGACCATTCAATATGGATATAGGAATGAATGGTTTTGAAGACGATTTAAAAGTATTGGAGATTATTGAATATCAAGTTCCACGCCAAATTCGTCTCAGGGTTGACTTATTTCATTCGTATGATGATTTGTCTTTCTTCAGAAGATTTCGTCTGACAAAAAAAACCGTTCTCGAGTTACTTCCCGCGTTGGAACCACTCTTTGAATATCCTTTCGATGTGTAGGAATCCAATTACAATAAACGTGGCATGGTAATATTATATTTAATGTTTTTCAGTAACCAGTCAATATCTCCAATGAACCAGGTACTCATCACACTGATGTACTACTCCTCGAATAGTCACATGTTGATTGTGTCTGATGTTCCTAAAATTAGCAATTTATCTGTTTGTCGAATTGTAAAATGGGTGCATGTGGCAATCACAGGATTGGCCCCCCCAATACATCAAGTTCCCCATAAACCAAGTAGATATTGATGATGCGAAGAATTCTTTCTATGAAAAAGCTTCCTTTCCTAATGTAGTATAGGAGCCATTGATGGAACCCATATACGTATTCAGTCGCCTGGTGAGTTAGACAAACCTGGAACTTCTATTCGATGTATGAATTATGTTTTTTTGTGATCATCTAGGTGGGGATGATGCAGAAGTATATAGAAACAGGAAAAACTACTTCTCACTCAATGTGCAAGCCATTTCCAATGCAAACCTTGAAATACTCGACTTGGTAGCTAGATGGCCTGGTTCTGCCCATGATGCTACAATTTTCAATGGTTCCAATATAAGAAGAGAATCTGAGAATAATGTGCATAGAAATATGTTTCTTCTTGGTGGGTGTTTTCTGTATATAATCAAAGGAAAAACTGATAATATTTGGATACCAATTGGATTCTATTTGTAATCCTGATCATATATTTCATCCTGAATAATGCACTATTTTTTCAATTGCAGGTGATAGTGCTTATTCAGATAGGGAATTCTCCGTACAGAATCCAAATACTGATGCAGAGCAGCGTTGTAATGAATCTCATATAAGAACTAGAACTGTGGTCGAAAGGCTGTTTGGTGTTTGGAAGAGGAGATTCCCAATATAAGCCTATGGAAGTAGGTTAAAATTGAGAAATACTCTAACAGTGATTGTGGCTACAGCAGTACTTCATAATATTGCCAAAAAAAAGAGAGCCAGAACCACACTTACCTCAACAAGTAGATGACCACCAATTGCAACAATTGATTAGAGAAGGAAATATACCTCCTGTTCCTCATGCTGACCAGGCACAATTTTTAGGTCCATGAGTTCGAAGAGATCTTATTGATAATTATTTTGCAAGATTATGAACTGTCATAATTTCTCATATTTTAAATTACATATTATGAATAATCATTGACATATTTTTATTGTAGTGTGTTCATGCATATTTTGTCACCTTCTGTAGAGTTTGTCATAAAAGTAAAAATGAATGAATCAGGAGTTTCAGGATTTTTCTACAGGTGTCAGAATATACATGAACAAATGTTTAAAGAGTTATTGTTGAATAGATGAGCAGAAAAAAAATCCTTGATTTCTAAAGTATTATATTTTCAAGAATACATGATTTATTTCATGAAAGAAATTAAATCTGATGGATTCGAATCATCAATTTTTTTAAGAATTGCTTCTTTTATTTTGATATCTAGTTCCAATGATTTCTTCCTGAGATCGAATTCTAATTCATCTTGCTGCTCCTTTCTGATTCTTGAAATCTGTACTTGTTCCAACTCGTGTTTTGCTAATCGTATTTTCAAAATCAGCCAGCATAATATACTTCTTTGAAATATCCGAGGAAGCTAACCCAGAAGTGATAGGTCTCCTTTTTGCTGACCACGATGCTGATGTTGAAGGCTCAGGCTCATTAGTGGCTGCAAAAATGTCCTTTTCTGTAGGCAATTGGGTGGTCTTAATGTCCTTGCAAATAGTACGTTTCAATTTTGAATGCACTGGTGTGCGGAGATGTGAAACTTTGAAGTCTCCCCAATGAACAGTATCATCAGGCCTGTCCTAAAATAAATAGTATTTCAGTGAATCTCATTTTTCATATGGGTTAAAGTTAAAAAATTGAGACAGTTGCAAAATGGATGTGAATGAATCATCCTGAAGAAAAGGTGATCAGGACGGCATAAGTTATGAAAATATAGTAATGCATAAATTATTTTCTCATCATAAAATGGTTTCTACTACTACTGTAGAGAGTTTAAAAAACATAAAAATATTGTAGATAAAAAACGCAAAAAACTGAAACAGGAATACTTTGAAGAAAAATGGAGTAATACAGGCAATAACCAGAAAAAAACAATGGAAACTTATCAATATTCTTATTGAAGGCAATGTCCAAAGTATTGTTATCAATAATTTAGAAATCGATGGACAAATCATTGATGATCCTAAAAATATTACCGAAAAAATGAACCAGTATTAAACAAATACCCAAGAAGTTCAAGAAACATTATATTGTAAAGCACCACTTTTCTTGGGTTGGCCTGTACAGGGGTCTTCACAAAGTTACTGATTCACTGGATTCGTGAATACTTAGGCAGGAGTAAGATTGGTGTATATAGACGTTAATACGGCATTTCAAAATACATAAATCTCTTTTCAGCAATCATCATAATATAGACAAGCAGAGTTGACATGGAGGTAAAACAGATGTGCTTACATAATATTGGTTGGTTATACATGATGACAGGATGATGTACTTTCGCACTTTTATACCGGGTCACTTTGAAAAGTTAATACAGTTTTATGAAAGTTCAATAATTCTCGATACACATCTATTGCAGCAACACAATATGTTCACTAGGTACAGACTTTTAAGCAATTTCTAATATCAACTACATATCACGTTTAACTAGACTGTTTAGCAGAGTTACTGGTTCAAGACATGAGACTTCGTATCAAGAGTTCGATCAAGACTGACTTTTTTTCCTATGGACATGGAGTTTTTATAGTAATTGGTGGTGGGAAAAGGGGAAAAAAGCCATTAAATCGCCGAAAGAAGAAATTAAATTTGATATATTTATGGGGTAATTAAGCGTATTATTGATGACCTGGCCATCTGCATGACCATGAATTGGGCAATGAATAATGCAATTTATTATATCAATAGATATCAGTGGATCTCATGGAAAATGTTCTGCCAATATATTATATTTAATTATAACAAAATCCTTGGAACTGTTTGGAGTTGAAGCATAAAATTCCATTATTATTTGATTTATTACCCTTTTTCTGATTGGTTTTCGGCTAGCATTCTCCCATATTATCCCTACTCTATGACTTCCCTCTTCTATTCAATATGAGTTTAATTTTTCATTCAGTAATACTCTCAGATTTTATTTTTATTCGAGGAGTCCTCGAGTCTAGTCGCTAGTCTTAGAAATTGCTCAATAGGTGTGTTACTAGTGAACAATCACAGGTAATTTTTATACATTTACTTTATTCTAATTATTACTCGTCTACAGTGTGTCCCACTTACCATGCTCACCATGGGTATCTTTTTAACAGTGAGAGATACGAGGTCGGTTAAATGACACCAAATGTGGAGTTTGTCAAGGCCAACTATAATGTGAAAAAATATTTAGATAAAATCTATTCGTTTCTGTTTTATACGCAAGAAACAGATTTTGATCATTTTCATGTCTCCTCCGTAACTTCTTTATTTATGAAAATATTCAAATAGGAATTTCACATTCTCATGGCAGTTTTTTAAAGTGATTTCGAAAAAAATTTGAAATTCATACCAACTCTTCTAGAATTTGAGATATCAGCACCCACTTTAGTTTTTCAAATGTAGGTCATAGCTCACAATGACTTAGTTACAAATAACTTTTTTTTCTCTTACAGATGATATGTCGCAGTAATAGTTTTGTGTTGATAACAACGGAGTTATCGTCATTTATACAAAAACAACAAATTATTTGGAAGCCGCCATCTTAAATTTATAAATTTTAACAAAAAAATCTTGATCTCCGACCTCAAAAACCCCCACTTACCAATTTTGAATGGAATCGGACCAAATCTTGTCCGCCATCTTGAAGCAGCCTTTTTTTTATTTCAACAAGAATTCCATAATGAATTGTCACCGAAATTATGAACACCTGCCAATTTCAAGTTAATAGAAGTTATGGAATTTTGGCTGAAATTTAAAAAAATGGCTGCTCCAAGATGGCGGACAAGATTTGGTCCGATTACATTCAAAATTGGTGAGTGGGGGTTTTTGAGGTCGGAGATCATGATTTTTTTGTTAAAATTTATGAATTCAAGATGGCGGCATCCAAATCATTTTTTGTTTTTGTATAAATGACGATAACTCCGTTGTTATCAACACAAAACTGTTACTGCGACACATCATCTGTAAAAGAAAAATGAGTTATTTGTAACTAAGTCATAGGGAGCTATGACGTACATTTGAAAAACTAAAGTTGGTGCTGATATCTCAAATTCTAGAAGAGTTGGTATAAATTTCATATTTTTTTCGAAATCATTTTGAAAACTGCCGTGAGAATGTGGAGTTCCTATTTGAATATTTTCATAAATAAAGAAGTTACGGAGGAGACATGAAAATGATCAAAATCTGTTTTTTGCGTATAAAACAAAAACGAATAGATTTTATCAAAATATTTTTTCACATTTTAGTTGGCCTTGACAAACTCCACATTTGGTGTCATTTAACCGACCTCGTATCTCTCACCGTTAAAAAGAAACCCATGGTGAGCATGGTAAGTGGGACACACTGTATACTACTACTTAATATCCTAAACCCCTTGAAACGTCAGTTCATCACAATCGATCCATCCCTCTAAGACGAAATTATATATTCAAACATATTGATTTCGTTACACTTTGTATAGTAGGAAAATCTCAGATAACCTCATATGGTTTCTGTAATCATATGGTTCATAATTTAAATCATCTTCGCTATTTCTCTTCCTACGGCTGTTTGTGTTGAATTTATCGAATTTTTTTATATAATCTAAACATCATGCTCAGTTTTAGTGACCTATATTGAGTTTGGCGAAACCCTATACATTTTTAAAGTGGTCTTATTGTATACATATAATCCTGAATAAATGATGCCACTCACATGGCTAGATGGGTGTTTGGTGATACATGATTATTGAGAGGTTATTATTTCGATCAGCGAGGTACTGTTTCAATTACTACTCTTTTCCGCATATATATACAAAAAAAATGTTCATCTATTTTTCACAAATCCGTCATATATATAATATATTGTCGTGTATGTATTTATGACGACCTTTCCAAAATATTATACCCCCCTTGAGGGTACTAATTCCATAGACTTAATTTACTTACTCGCTTGGCTTTGAGAGGGTTGTTGTTGAATTGTGGAACACAAAGAAATGAAGAGAGTATTTAAAAACATAAAAGAAACATGTTTATTCAATAAAACAATTATAAGTGTACTCACAATTTGGATACTAGGGGAACCATCTTCAATGGGCTCAGAGAACCTTTCCTGCTCTACGCCCGAAGTAGACTGACTTCCTATTTTTCATATTCAAACTACTCCAACCAATATTTCCCCCTCTGATGGTATATTAATTCATATATCTCAGCAGTTTTAGAATCAATGTATTTTACGTTCAATCTGAGTTCATACAGGTTATGGAAATATTAGTTGTAATAGGAAACTTTAGTTCCTGTCTAGGTATGCCTGTCATGTAATACATTGGATATGAAATGAATGTTATTTTATAAAAATAATTATTTTCGAATTCAGATGAATGAAAAATTGATTAAGATATACTACATGACAATATAATTACTACTAAACTGGTCCTAATTATGAAGATACACCAGATAACGTGAATATTCTCAGTACTAACTAAATGTACCTAAACCTAGCCCATTCATGAATGGATGCAAAACTATTTTTTTGATTTTATTCTACCTTACGTTATGATTATATTTTAATAACTAATTCTCTTCTCTCTTTACCTTTCTCCCTCGTTAATTATATGCTTCATTGATTTTGAAGTGTGTAAATTATGCTGAATTATATTATTAACCTATTGTTGATTAAAAAGTATACAATTTGTTTTATATTGAACAACTACTACTGCTCAATAGGTCATAAACTTACATCTAGCTTGAATCCACAGATTGATCCTTTAGACTATCTAATGCATGTCAGCATTGTAGATAACTTTCACATTGAAGACACTAACATAATTGAGCTTAAAGATGTTCTCGAAGGAATAACTAATAAAAGTTCATCAGGCATAGATGGATTATCAGTCAAAATATTTCAGAATCTACCCGACTATGTTCTCCTCATTTTGGTGAATGCGATTAATATATCTTTCAGAACGGGAAAGTTCCCATTCTGCCTAAAACAAGCAGTTGTTATACCTCTCCATAAGGGCTGTGACCTGAACGAACCCGCAAATTATCGGCCAATTTCACTTTTGTCGACATTATCAAAAATTATAGAAAAATTAGTCAGAAGGAGAATGATGAAACATCTTATGAATAACAATATAATAAACCATTGTCAATTTGGATTTCAAAGCGGTAAAAACACAAATGATGCAATATTTTCTTTACTGGAAAATGCATATCTAACTCTGAATGATGGAGAAGCAGCTGCAGCAGTATTCTGCGATTTCTCAAAGGCTTTCGATTGTGTTAACCATGAATTACTGCTGCAAAAGCTAGGGCTTTATGGATATAGGAATTCCTCATTGAACTGGTTTCGCACATACCTATCAGAAAGGAGTCAGGTAGTTAAAATCAAAGATGACCAATCTCGCAGGGGCAAAGTTTCAATGGGCGTACCTCAGGGGTCAGTATTGGGTCCAATCCTGTTTCTATTGTATGTAAATGACCTAGCCACTATTCGTATTGAGGGAAAGTTCACCTTTTTCGCAGATGATACTACCATTCTATGGCACGGAAAGGACATAAATCATTTGAAAGAAGTAATTGCTCTTGATCTCACTAAAATAAAGCAATGGTGTGATTCCAATTCACTATGCTTTAACTTAAGCAAAACAAATCTAATCTCCTTTAAGTTCAACTTTGATAATTTACTCTTAGATGACCATATAATTACGAATAAACCAAATATTAAGTTTTTAGGTATGCATATAGACAACAAATTGAAATTTGATGAACATATCACGAGCTTAAATAAAAAGATATCCTCTAGTTGCTTCGCAGTTAAAGTTGTTTCAAAGGAACTAAATTCAGCTTCAGCTAGGTTAGTATATTTCTCCTTAATTGAGTCCCACTTGATGTACGGCATTGCATCCTGGGGATTGTGCAGTGATCATTTGTTCGACTCAGTGTTTGTATTACAAAAAAGAGCAATTCGCTACCTGAGCAAAGCCCAGTACCGTGATCACTGTAAACCATTATTCATCAATCAAAGGATTTTGACTCTATCTTGTTTATTCATACTGGAAACTGTATGCCTGATGCACAAGAAATATGTCACTTCAACATTACCTATAACTGAAACCAGAAAATATGAGGCAAGAAACAAAGGTCGTATTCCTTTACCTATACCCAAATCTAGTCTAACTAGAAATTCTGTCATGTACGAAAGCAAAAAAATGTATAACCATCTTCCAATAGCTTACAGAAATATACCTTGCCCAAAGAAGTTCAAGAAAAAAGTGAAAGATTCACTTTTACAGAGGGCTTACTATAACCTGCAGGAGTATTACAATGACATACTCTAGTTTCTATTGTAATTTCCATTTCTATAATTGTGTTATATTTTAATATATTTTAATCTGTTATGATTTTTAACAATGTGATATCGTGCGAAAAATGTGATTCTGATTCTAATTGTATTATCTATATGAGATAGTTGCAAGTTGACGACTCTCCAAAATTTCATTTTGGTGATATATATATTGTTTCTTTTTGTTTGTCTCTTATTTTAATTTGTATTCTTTTGCATCTGTTATGTTCTATATTATACTATATTATATAATTTACTGAAACATGCTTTGTCAATAAGATTGAAATCTTCGACAATAAAGTATATTTTTGATTGATTGATTGATTGATTGATCTATACCTACATACCCTAATTTTTCGATTATACCTTACAATCTATATAGTAATGGTCTTTAAAAAAAAAGATTTTCTCACTCACTGACGCCTCTTGATTGTAACCTTCAGCTGAGGTCCAGCCTGGCAGACCCAGCGTTCTTGCGCCAAGTTTTGCCTACGCCGGCGGGGTCTAGGCGGAGGGACGACAAGCTGTCTTAAAGGCAGTGGGGCCGCCTGTGGAAGTTCCGGTGCAGGCAGATCATTTCCTGCTGGTGTAACAGCAGCTGGGGGTGCGACCGAGGGATTGCCCTGGTCAGGTTGGGGTCTTACCTCCAGATAGGGTGGCGGAGCTTGGGGAAGTTCTTCCGGGCCCATCGCCACCTGTTGGCACCCGGCACATTCGTGATAGTGGTGAAGCACCCTCTCGGACCTCATCAGCTCCAGGTGGAACAAAATTACCGTACGGTAATATACGGTTGAGATACTCCCGCTCTCGTTCCATATTGTCGAGAATTATTCTCAAGACTTGTAATTTTCCTTCATTTAGGGGCAATTCCCTTACTAAGTCTAATAAGTGATCCATTTTAATTAAGTTTAACTCCCACCACGCACTTTCTGAATCGACTGGAATGATTTTCTAGTTCTTAGGCTTTATATTGGTTTATCCCTGAATAATCTTTTCGGCTCAAGTTTCTTCGAACCCTATGGCATGTTTTAGTAACATAATATTCGTCGATATGGTCCATATCATTAAGCTATCTGCCGATAGTGCATACAAATTTGGGTTATTACTTATTCGTAGATTTATCTGATAAACTTCTTTCATTAGTTCGTTATTGTAGGCATTTACTCCTGACTTGTGGGTGAATTTATGATCTTCTTTGCGTTTGAACGGTGTTACCGCGCTCACTCAAAGTATTCTGCTATTTTCAGTTCAATTATATACATGTATCGCCATCTATCCTAATTCTCGCGTTCTGTATAGAGGGTCCTATTCCGGGTACTGCTGCCTTCTGGTTAGTTTTCATTAAACTCCCATCCCACTGCATGGAATGGATTAGATATTTTCTGCAAGTCATGTCGTAGCTTTGTTAATCTGTGCCTGAACATGACCTGAACATATAGAAATATAAGATGGCTGCCAACAAGTGCCAACAAAATAAGAAATTCGGTGGAAACATGGAAACAAATGGAAACTAAACAAATATTACAAATATATGAATGTCCTCTTACCTGATACGTATTCATAAAATAAAAATATCCACATGGAATTACTGGATGATTAAAAGGATCAACGAATCTAAATTGAAAACCAACAACAACAAAAAACCACACCCGACCACATCCATTTTCACTTCGTCTTCTTGCCCTTCCCTTCTCCTTCGTCATCGTCCGTTATACGTCACCATTTTGAATGACATTTGACTTTTGATAATGACAAATGAGAGTTATAGTTCTGTGGTTTTTACTGATTTCATGCACTCAGTACGCACTGGAAGACTAGAACATATACCTGTTCTTGTTTTACACATGTAATTATCAAAAGTTAGATATAATAATATACTGTTCGGTCTGCATAGTTTGAATACATTTTTTGGTGATATCTGCATAGCCATTTCACCTTATTCTTTTGTTGATGTTCGATGTTTAAATATGCGAATTAATTGAGCACAAATGATAAGTTTTTCAATTCGAATGATGCAAACATAATATATATGCAAAGATATTATCGTGTACCAGAGATTAGCCAACCACAGAACATAAACATAACCTTACAACCTGATGACAAATAAATGTCGTATATGCGACGTCAGATTTTTCTCTCAGATCGGATGACCTTCGAAGTACGTCAAATTGACTTCTCTTTAATGATGACAAGGAGACGTTGAAAATATGACGTTATAGTGACGTTATCTACCCGTCAGGCGACGTTGCTGATCAAAAATGACTCAAAAATGACGTCAAAAAGACGTCAGTGTGCCGCCTGGGTTGTATCGTTGTAGAACCTACTAACGCCCATCCTCACTCCACCAAATATACAGTGCATATTTCTTATCCATATTCGGCTACTTAATTACTGTATGGGGATCATGTGGACAGACATTATTCAAAAAAATAAAAACACTTCAAAACAAAGTCGTGAAAATTTTATTCAAGCTCGAATACAGAACCTCAACTGATACCATATACAATGTAACCAAGATACTGCCTATTCAGAATATTCTAGAAATCGAACAAGGTAAATTTGCATACAAGGTTATAAATGAGCAAGTTAAATGTAATACCAACTTTTCAATTGTTAATCAGCTACACGAATACAATACTCGAACACATAATAATGTCTTTTTAGAACCTGTACGTACTGATATTGGCCTAAATAATCCCCTAACATTATGCATGAAAACTTATAACACCCTCCCCAAGGAAATAACAGATAGCCCTAATATCAGTATATTCAAGAATAAAATAAAAAAATTTACACTTGCATACTTGATGAATGATCGGCATAAAGCTCTTCTTCATTTCTCTAGTATATATATATATAGTATATTTTTTCTTTGTTGTATATGATAATTATGTATATTGATTAGCTAGTTTTCCGAGACCAGCATGTCAGTGCTGCTTTGGAAAGCCTTTTTTGAATAGTGTTGTTATTCCAGATAACTTGAAACTGTGACTGTAACCATTGCTGCATTATTCGAATAAAGTTCTTGGAAAAAAATATATATTGGATTAATCTTGTATTTTGAACTCACTGTCTTCGGTGGCTTTATATTTTGTATAGCATCAATGAATGCATCTTCCACTTTATTTGAAATGGATAAAGAACTCTTTCTTACTGCTTTGGATGTACTTGGTGTATGAATATAGTTTTCTTTATCTTCTATATTCTCCATGGATCCTAAGTTTGATGTAGTCTTCCTGCAAATAACAGAAAAATATTGAAACAAAAAAGTTCAATCAACTCGGGTTCAGCTTGCTGAATTTGAAAAAAATGATGCAAATATCTTCAATCTGATTTTGCCTTGGAGCAACTGTATCTGATAGGAAAGTAAGTAGTATCTCGTAAATTCCTCCACTTTTTTTGCAGATACTCTATGGTGTACTGTCTTCGAAGAGCTTCATAAATTTCTATCCACAGTTTATCCCCGATAACTTCACTCCTTTTGGTAATGGGAAGGGTATATACTATCCCATAACTCTACTCATGAAATGAGTAATTCCTCAAGTGTGTCACTAGACACCTCACTGACATGTTTCTCTTGGTATGAATCCTCTACAGTTTGTTGAGTTTCCTCTACTACATGGTCACATAAATCATCTATTGGCAACTAGCCACACAGTTCATAATATACCAGCTATAAAATTATTAATTTAGTAGAAAATAGGACCATAAGACCTTTTATCCTAGTTTGAAGCATTTGATTGAAATCATACCTCCTCTGTTTCTGAATCCGGTAATTTTGCATTTATCATGCGATGGTTTTTTTTTTCGAAAATGTTTTTTGCTACTTACGTATTTTCGTCTGAAAAACACGAATTTCACAATGAAAATGTGAACAAACCACTATTTTTCGAGATATTCCACTTGCCATCTTTTTGGATTTGAAGTGATATTCATCCTTCTTCAAACGTTTTTCCACTTCAATAGTTTGAAACTAGCTGTTGTACGATATGAAACTTCAGAACGAATCGAAATTATACGATTGGAGCGTTCATCCAAACAATTTTTAGCTAAGAATTCCAGTTGTTGGGAATGCAAGAATTCACTTCTACCGCAGGGGAGTTCAAAACATCAGTTCACCGCCAACTTCTCGAATTTAAATTCACTATTCTTTTTCAGGCTATTAGATCATTATTCGAACAAAATGGATCTCATGTTGAGTGACTATATTTGTTTGGCGAAGAAAAGAGCTGATTTTATAAGATTGTTTACTTCATTTATGGAAAAATCTCCGAAAAAAAAAATACTTTCAATTGATTTTAATAAATAAAATGTGTCATTGATGTACATCGAGAGTATACGGGTGGGTCACGGTAGATGGCACCTTAGACGTTTACGGAGAACGGGACATAAGATCATTCTGAAAATTTGGTTACTCAAGTAATTGCTCTTGATCTATCGATCTAAAATAATTTCAGCTCTGCGGCGTTGCCGCTTCTATCGAAAAGTAGCAACAACTTTGTTATTTTGAATGGAACACCCTGTATTTTATCTCATTTTCAGATTCTCTCTGGAGAGCTGATTTCATCGATGTATCACACTTGGGGTCTAGCGGAAATGATTACAGAGATATAGGGTGTGAAAAATCGACATTTTTCAACTTAAGGAATTTTTTTTGTCGAAACTATTCATTATTGGTCAAAACGGCTTACATGTCCCCATCTCAACTTCTGATTAACTATCTACTGATATTTAATTGGGACATATACCGGGTGATCAAGAATCTGAATTCTGCACCACCCTGTATTTGTTTCAATTAAATGTCAGTAGATAGTTGATCAAAAGTTGGGATAGGGACATGTGAGCCGTTTTGACCAATAATGAATAGTTTCGACAAAAAAAATTCCTAAAGTTGAAAAATGTCGATTTTTCACACCCTATATCTCTGTAATCATTTCCGCTAGACCCCAAGTGTGATACATCGATGAAATCAGCTCTCCAGAGAGAATCTGAAAATGCGATAAAATACAGGGTGTTCCATTCAAAATAACAAAGTTGTTGCTACTTTTCGATAGAAGCGGCAACGCCGCAGAGCTGAAAATATTTTAGATCGATAGATCAAGAGCAATTACTTGAGTAACTAAATTTTCAGAATAATCTTATGTCCCGTTCTCCGTAAACGCCTAAGGTGCCAACGACCGTGACCCACCCTGTATAATGTGTCCAGTGATGAAAAAAGAAGGACAAGTAGTTGCAAAAGCGATCCAAGTTAGTTGGCGAATATACGGTTCTACACATTTTCATTGTGAAATTCGTGTTTTCAGACGAAAATACGTAAGTGGCAAAACAAATTTTCGAAAAAAACCCATCGCATGATGAGTGCAAAATTACCCTGAACCCATTCGCACAGCTCAATTTTTTATTACAATTTATAATATATCTTCGGAATTTTTTGAAAATGTCCAAATATAACAACAACCTAACTTCCTAGGTAGTAGATATGTTAGGTAGTTACTCAAATGCGAGTCAAATGTCAATCACGAAACAACAAGTTTGTGTAAATTTTGGGTACTCTGATCACAGATCTTGAACTTTGACTTGACCGTTTTGAAATATCTCAACGGTGACCTTAAAATTTTTTCGCATGATTATAAACGTCAAATTCTGTTAGAAATGTCATAATTTGCGATTCGCATAAATTTTGCGAAATTCCTACAAGCATGAACATACCTTTATGCCCAAAATCAGTAGGACGAAATCGGCAAACAGC